GAGGGGCAGCCCTGTTCTCCTGGTGTCCCCACAAGGTCCAAGCAAGGTGGCCAGCAGGGAAAAGGCCTGCTAAGGGGTGACATCGAGTGGACACACTCTGGCTGGACGGTTTCCAAGACTCGAGCTCTGTGCAGAAGCCACTCAGGCGCAGCCACCGGTCTCTCCCAATCGGGAGGAGAGAAGAGTGACCAAAATCAAGGACACCCGTCAGTCTCCAGGACTCTGAGGCCAGACGCACTCGCTGGTGCCCGGCTGCCCCAGCCAGCTGCTCTGAAGGGAATCCCACCAGACGATCTCTGAAGGGAGTGGGGAAGAAAGCGCGGACGAAACCGCAAAACCATAAAAAAAGAGAACAGGCTCACTGGCCTGAACCCCGGACTCTGGACCTACGCCCCCCTTCAGGTCAGGACCAGAACTCACCCTGTGGCTCCGTTTTCAGTCAAGCCCCAGACAGGTCTGTAAGGGGAACAGTAACGCTCGCTGGGTTTGAACACCTGAGAATCACTGTCTGAGATCAGGAGGGCAGCGGTGACCACAGGACAAAGTCCAGAGGGGTCAGGGACGGAGGAGGAATGGAGACAGGGAGGAAGTAGAGGACATGAGGGGGCACTGAGGGGACCTGTGAACGGCTGAGTGGAAAATGGAGTGTCTATTCTGTAAATCTTCTCCCAATTCAAAATTGAATTCTTTTTAAAATAAAAACTTGAGAGAAACAGACATTTAACAGTGGGAGGTAGCCACCAACCTGCCACCCCTGGGCGTGGCTCCAAATGTCAGGTGGACTTTTCTGGGGGAGGGGGCAATGACCCCTAAACCCACACACAGGAATACTAGCGGCATCATGGGCTGCTAATCGCAAGGTAGGAGGTTCAAACCCAACAGCTGCCCCGAGAGCAAGATGAGGCAGTCTGGTCCCATCAAGATCCACAGTCTGTGAAACCCACTCTGTGCTATGGGGCAACTATGTGCCAGCATAGACTGTGGGTTTGTTTTAGCAGGGTCTTAACTCCAAGTGACCCGACTTTCTGCAGCTAGAGCTGAGGAAACATGCACACACCACACACACCACATACCACACCACACACACTCACACAGCACACCCCACACACACACACACACACAGGCGCTGCACCATCAGTCCCTAGGAGCTGTAAGCCATCTGACCACGAGCCAGGTGGTGACCCTGCCCTTAGATTCCATCCGAGAAGTGGTGTCCCCACAGCCCCCCAGAGAGAGGACCCAGGGAGACAGGCCAAGTTCACACTTACCCAGCCCATTTGGTGGGTGCCAAAGAAGATTGGGGTCCAGGACCAGTTCAGGGCCAGCTGCCCGGCATAGAGGCCCAGGGGTACCATGGCCTCCTCTGAGAAGCCCCCAAGCTCTTTCCAGATCATGTAGGAGCCATACCTGCAACAGAGCTGCCATCAGTGCACCCGTGGGGAGGAGGCCAGGAGCCCCCGCCCAGGTGGCCATGCCCAGGGCTCAGGCATGCCCCTGCCCTCGGGGAGCCAAAGATCCTGCTCAGGCACTGACTGCTGTGTGACCTCCCGGAGGTTGCTTGACCTCCCTGGGTTGCCTCACCAGGCTGCCGTGGGATTTGAGCTGGCTTGTTTGCTGTGTTTAGGGTGGTGGCTGGCACACAGTCCACAGTGCCAGGAAGGGGGAGGCACAGGAGGAGGAGGCTCCTAAAATAGCAGGGAGTTGCACAGCAGACAGGATGTTCAGGCTGGGCCTTAGAGGATGAGTAGGAGTTTGCTGGAGAGAAGGAACAGAATTTTTAGTGGCTTGGAGACAGGTGGGAGACCCTGAGTGGGTGTGACTGCAGGGTGAGGTCTGGGGACCAAGGAGAAGGGGGACTGCACAGGTGAGCAAGGGTCTGGGCACAGGGAGGGGGTCTTGAGAGCAACACCACTACCAGCCATAATAAGGACCAATGCTCTCAGCTCTTATGTGCACCAGGCACTGTTCTAGCACTTCCCATGCAGTAACTCTTTCCATGCTTGTGATGGTGTGTGAGTCAGGCAGTACTATCACTGCCGTTTCACAGAGGAGGAAACTGAGGCACAGAGAGGGACAGTCACTGCCCAAGACTTCTCGGAATTTGAACCCAGAGCCCAGGACTTCGCTGTCAATGAGAGCCGTGACCTTGTCCAGGGCCAGAGGCAGTAGCCGAGGCTACTTTATGCTTCATCAGGGTCTCAGTGGTAGGAGTGTGTATGTGTGTGTGTGTCTGTCCATTGGGAGGATGGAGTGTCGGGAGGCAGCAGCAGGGCCTGAGTTAGGATCCGGTGGCTGGAGGTGATGGGTGCCCCACTGGGCAGGGCCTGGGGCCAGCAAAGGTGGGGGAGGGGACCGAGGCATGGGCCAGGTGGCACCCAGGCTGAGATCTGGCTTAAACTCCATCCAAGTTCCCAGCGCACAGCCTGGCCTCTGCCGCCCACTGTGGGAGGCTCCCAGCCCTGTCCTGCACTGGCCAGGTGATGTACACGGAGAAGGCTGGACACAAGAGGGAGGAAGCTGACCTCATCTCCTAGATGCAGTCCCAGAGGGAGCCCCCAGGGGGTGCCCTGCACAACCCTTCCGCCATCACAACCCTAGGGGCCCTGGAGGCCAGAGCCCAGGGAGGGGAGAGGGACCTGGGATGTCAGAGAAGCTCCTGCAGGGTCCCTACTTGTAGCCCCCTATCTAGAAACCCCAGGCACCCCTCCTCTAAAATGGGGGCCGTGAGGGTGCGCCTGGCAGGCAGCTCGGTGTGTGTCGGTAGAGAACGGCCCGCCGCCACCGGGTTTTCATTGATTGATCTTTTTGAATTAGATAAGCCAGGCCTTTCTTCCAACCCTCAGGAACCCAGCGGGTCAAAGCTTTGCACCGCCTGTGCCCGCGGGCGCGGCTGCTATTCGCCCAAACCACCGCTAGAGGCGCCCACGCCGCTAAACGCCGCCGCGCAGGGGCGGGCTCGACCCTGACACCCACGCCGCGGAGCCTGGCGCCTCTCCGGGGACCCGGGAGCAGAGAGCCGGGTTGTGCAAGCAGAAGGCCGCCCCTTTTCCTGCTTCCTGTTGGGTCCCAAACCAGCCTGTGGCATGATTGCGCCAGGGCTCCAAGGACGTTGAAAGTCCCGGGGCGGGGAGGAGGGAGGGGAATGGCCGGGCCCCGCCCGCCCCGGGGACCCACCTACCCCATGGCCGAGTAGAGCGTGCCCCAGATGGGGCCGAACGCCCAGCGGGGCGGGGTCCAGGAGGGCTTCTGCAGGCCGGAGTACCAGCGGAGGCCCTCGCCGTACACGAAGCGAGAGCCGAGAAAGCCGCCCAGGCTGGGGGCCAGCGTGAAGCCCACGGCGGGCACCCAGGGCGGGGCCATGGCTGCTGTAGCGGCGGCTGGAACGTTCTGAAAGAGGCCCGGGCTCGGGTGAGAGAGGGAGGTGCCCTCCCGAGGGCCTACGGACGTGGACGTGGGCGGGCCCCAGGCTCCACGGGCAGCTCTGCAGGTCCCTGCAGTGTGAATCTGCTAGTAGCTGGTGCCCCGCCAATCGGGAGGGGCCCAGTCACACCCACAGCTCTGCCATCCGGGCCCAAGGGCTCCAGTGAACCTTCCCCCAACCAAACCTGCCCTGTAGGGTCATGAGTCTCAGGTG